TTTTTTTTTTTTTTTTTTTTGTTTGATAATGCGTTTATAAAAGTGGAAAATAGTATGAGGTTTAACTGCATTAACAATTTGTGGTAATATTTAACAGTATAAATGTGATGTGCGCTGTAAATTGTCCTTGAAAAATTTTATCTGTTCGTCATTTCGAGATCTGTGTCGCAAGTTACTATTCAACGATAAAAAGTTTATAGAAACCAGTTCAGATGATCTTCTTCTAATAAAGATTTTTTTCTTTTTCTGAGGAAGAAGGAGCAAAGAACATAGAAAAATGCATAATTTTTTAAAGTAACAAAATTTGTTTGCACATCAAAAAAAAAAAACTGGATAGAAAAGTTTTTTCTTGTAGAAAGACATTATTTGTAGTGTCGATGATATCAATAAAATGATGCAGTATTCAGTAAAATTGAATTAAATAGAAAAAGTGCTCATTGAAAGATGAGAAATACGCAATACAGCATTACGTACCATTGTCCTTAAAAAACTGATAATGATAGAATTTGAAGAAAAATATCAAAAGAAGAAGTTAAAAATTCACATTAACAATGTATTACTCAGCAACTAGAATCGTTTATAAGAAAATTGTCTTTAGATAGACTAACCTTCGACTGCATTTAGATTTATACAGTTAAATGAACAATTTTATACACCCCAATGATATGCAATAACGAAAGCGCTATAAAGGTTATATGAGGTTACAAAAGAGGCATAAAGGAAACCACTTTTATTCACTTTTTTGACCTCAACTTTACTGAAAATTTCAGAAAAAAAAAAGAAAAAATAAATAAAAAAACGATTTTTCCTAATGGAAACTTTGCCATCCCCACCACGAAAGGTACACATTTGCAGAATCATTGATATATAGACCATCGTCATCTAATACCCATGTGATGTTTGCTGCTTTTGGTGCCATTCCACCGAAGACGTCAAAATGTTCATAGAAACTGTTTAGTCCAGCGATATCACACCAAAAGTGTTGATTTCCTAAATTTTTTTAATAAAAACATAGAATTTAATAAAGACAACAAAAAACTTTAACGACAAATAACTTCAATGTTTAGTGATAAATTTAAGAAATATGTGAAGCAGTGTAAGAGTAAAAGAAAAAAAACAGCGATAAAAAAAAGCAGTAATTTTGTTGCACAAATTTAGAAGATTGAATCCTTGGCAATTTTAAGTATCAGCAATTAAAATTTCAAGTCAGCAGTTTGTACACTATAAATTGTTTACTATCGTTGTTGACTTCGGTGCTTGTTTTCAGCGATGAATTCCACCTAACTTTTATGTTATTCTATTTAGTGCACAAAAAAAAGAGATATCTCGGGTTTTTTTTTCGTTATAGGTTGGATAGATCAATGTCGGATGAGCAGATAATGTAAATACTGATTGCAAAACGGAATTATAGAATATTCACAACAATTTCTAAGACTTTTTGCTGTTGCTGTTGGTACCTAAAGCATCTGTGATGCATTCGACGCCAACTATATTTTTGAACTGAAGTTTACTCACAGATTATTCAAAAAAAAAAAAAAAACAGAACAAATGTGTTAATTTTTCAAATTAATTACAAGTTAAACCAAATGATATTCGTATTAATTTTAAAATTGTAAATACAATTATAAAACTAAATTTTACTAAGCTTTATTAATTTAGGTGAGAAAAAAGTGGAACTTAGCCCAGGTCTTTAAAACTTTATTTTTTTTGCTTTAACGGTCGTTTATCGCTTTGTAGAGATTAAATTAGAAGTTACATTTGGTTTATTCTTTCTTCTGCGTAATTTCTTTTGATGACAAATAATGTCGTCAACAAGTATCACATTTTTCTTACTGACGTTTCTTTTTTTTTTTACACATCTGAAAGCTAATGATTAGATGATAGTCAAAAATTCATGACACCCACTGAAGTCAAAGTCGTGAAAATGAAATTGAAATTGATCATTGGAGTCTATAAACTGATCTCGTAAATCTGTTAAAATTGACTGACAGCGTAAGCGAAACGACTGATCTGCCTAAAAGTTACAGAGATTAAACGAAAACATTTTGTGTCATTGCAACAACAATAAAAAAAAAAAAAATTGACAAATTTGGCGTTCTGCAGTTTTTAATTCTTTTGATTTTTTTCTCATCTGAGACGCCTATTTTAAGGACTTTATAAAACTGTTTTTCTAATGCACTATAATGACCACAGAACAGATGATTTGTACGGTTGATACTGTTTGATAAACCAATTATTGCTGATAAGTAAACAGTTTCACATAGCAGGAAAAGCCGCTAGGAATGAAAAGAAAATGCTTGAAAATTTTTCGCACTTAGTTAAGTGTTTATAATGTTTTAACAAAAATGAATTTACTACTGATACTGTAGCAAAAATAGAAACAATAACTGACTTACTTACAGTGACTTTTTATTTGCTTAGCAATCATTAAGAATACTGTAAACCTAAAGAGTATCAGTTTATGTAAAATTATAGCAAAACTTTTACTGTTTTTGTCGTTTTATTGCTAACAGAACAAGTCAATGTTTATCAGTTTATCACTTTTTTTTTTTTTGTTTGGCGTGCTATTCAGATGGATAAAATATAGAACAAAAAAACAACAACAAAAAAAAAAAGACTAGCTGTTGACAGTTTAAACTAAACACTTAATGATAAATGTCACAGTTGTCATTATTTTGGCTGTA